CACACCAAAGCTTATTCGACTTCAACACAACAACAACAAAGAAATAAACAAGATACAGATGAGCAGAAAAGACGACCACTAAGGTCGAGTCGAGAGCGAGAGCGTGGCCACTAAGGCCAAAAAATGTGGGAGGTAGTCCTGGATCCGCGGGCTTCTTCAGCCCGAGCTGAGAATCAACTGAATCACACCGCGTTGGTGTCAAGAACAACTTGTCTACTTTCAAGAATCACATGGGGGCCGAACCAGCGGCTCTCAGGAAGCTCAAGTAGACATCGTTTCTGACACCAGTACTGACTCACGAAGGAGTCGCTTGTCCACGAAGGGACACCATCAGTTCAGAAGGAGAGAAAAGAGAAAACAAAGTTTTGCTTTGCAGAAGAGTGATCAGTGAGATCATCAGCATGAGCCCATCAAGCGAAAAGACGGCTAAATCTGATGAAGTGAAGAAGACAAAAAACACCTCAGTGGTGAGTTTTGATGATGAAATCGATCTGACAGTGCAGATAATCAATACAATACCAGATCTGCTGTCCAAAAGCTTAGATGAACATAGGGTGTCTGGGAAGGTATAGAGAGCCCTTAGAAAACGCCATAAACGAAGTCGTAAAAGACGCATGCGCCCATATAGACTTAGTGAAGTTCAGCCACGTAAGAGAGAAAAGAATAGAGGAAAGCTGCTACGCAATGCTTCAAGAGAGGGGAGTAGATAGCGTAGAAGAATTCAAAGAGTTTTTAAGCACGGTAGAAAGAGATGAGGATCTCATCGAAAACTTGTGTGATATGCTTGAAACAAATGTGTTTCAGATCAAGCAAAAGATAACAGAATTGAAGGATCTGAAGTCAGGAAACCATAATAACGACGAAGAAATGGCAGAACCAAATGATGAAAAAGGTAAGAAACATCATTTGGGTACAGACCACCTTGTTCGCAATGAGCAAAGCTACTCGAGTTCTTATCAGAATTGGAGGCAACAACAAGAACGAATGAAGATTTGCTCGCTCTCAGAGCCGCGCTGGAATCGGCATTTAGCGGACTTGGAAGGCCAATCACCAGAGGAGAAAGTCCACGGTGAGAGTTCAGAACCTAATAACTACTTCATGGCCTTTTTACAAGCTGCAGCATGCGCTGATCCAGGAATATTCCGAGGTAGAGAAAAAGACAATTTCAAGGAATTTGTGAGGCGCTTTCGTAGAAAGTATTGCCCTGTTGTCAAAGACGAATTTACCCTTATTGAAATACTGGGAGATGACCACTTGGGTGGCCGCGCTAAAAGTCTCTTCCTAGCTATGCCAAGCGGCATCAAACAACGGGGTTTTCAAGCTGTTGTTGACGAGCTCAGCAACATGCTTGCGTACGAGTCAACAGCGGCTAGAATTCGAGCCTTAACTGATCTTCGGAATCTGAAAATAAGACCAGGTCAAAGCATTGTAGACTTCTGTGTAGTACTAGAAAGCCTAGGAAAGAAAGCAAACCCTGAAAGTACAATCGAAGACCGTT